TGAGTACATACAATGCCTGTCTTTTTGTGACTGGGTTACCTCGCTTAGAGTTCTATCCATTTGCTTGCAAATTTCAAGATTCCATTGCCTTTTTTTTCCTGCTGATTAGTACTCCATTGTGTAAATGTACCACATTTTTTCTATCCATTCTTCAGTTGAGGGGCATCTAGGTTGTTTCCAGGTTCTGGATATTACAAATAATGCTGCTATGAACATAGTTGAACAGGTGTCCTTGTTATAGGAATGTGCTTCTTTTGGGTATATGCCTAAGAGTGGAATTGCTGGATCTTGTGGTAGACTGATTCCCATTTTCCTGAGGAATCGCCATACAGATTTCCAAAGTGGCTGTACAAGTTTGAACTCCCACCAGCAATAGAGGAGTGTTCCCCTTTCTCCACAACCTCTCCAGCATAAACTGTCATTGTGTTTTTTGATTTTAGCCATTCTAAATGTAAGATGTAATGACATTCTAATGTCATTCTAATGACAGGTGTAAGATGTTATCTCAGAGTTGTTTTGATTTGCATTTCCCTAATGGCTAAGGATGTTGAACACTTTCTTATGTGTCTGTCAGCCATTTTAGATTCCTCTATTGAGAATTGTCTATTTAGTTCTGTACCCCAATTTTTAAATGGATTATTTGATGTTTTGGAGACTAGCTTCTTGAGTTCTTTGTAAACTTTGGAGATCAGCCCTTTGTCGGATGTGGGATTGGTGAATATCTTTTCCCAATCCGTGAGCTGTTGTTTTGTCTTGTTGACTGTGTCCTTTGCCTTACAGAAGCTTCTCCGTTTCAGGAGGTCCCATTTATTAATTGTGGATCTCAGTGTCTGTGCTACTGGTGTGATGTTCAGGAAGCGGTCTCCTGTACCAATTTGTTCAAGGGTATTTCCTACTTTCTCTTCTAATAAGTTCAGTGTGGCTGGGTTTATGTTGAGGTCTTTGATCCATTTAGACTTAAGTTTTGTGCATGGGGATAGACATGGATCTATCTGCAGTCTTCTACATGCCAGCATCCAGTTATGCCAGCACCATTTTTTGAAGATGCTTTCTTCATTCCATTGTATAGCTTTGGCTTCTTTGTCAAAAATCAGTCATTCATAGGTGTTCGGGTTAATATCGGGGTTTTCAACTCCATTCCATTGGTCTATTTGTCTATTTTTGTGCCAATACCAAGTTGTTTTCAGGACTATAGCTCTATAATAGAGCTTGAAATCAGGGATGGTGATGCCTTCAGAAGTACAGGATTGTTTTGGCTATCCTGGGTCTTTTGTTTTTCCATATAAAGTTGAGAATTGTTTTTTTAAGTTCTCTGAAAATTGTGCTGGGATTTTGATGGGGATTGCACTGAATCTGTAGATTGCTTTTGGCAAGATTTCCATTTTTACTATGTTGATCCTACCTATCCAAGAACATGGATGATACTTCCATTTTCTGGTATCTTCTTTAATTTCTTTTTTTAAAGACTCAAAATTCTTGTGATACAGGTCTTTCACTTTTTTGGTTAGTGTTACCCCAAGGTATTTTATGTTGTTTGTGGCAACTGTAAAGGGTGATGTTTCTCTGAGTTCTTTCTCCACCAATGTGTCATAGGTATATAGTAGGGCTCCAGATTTTTTTGAGTTAATCTTGTATCCTGCCACTTTGCTGAAGGTGTTTATCAGGAGTTCTCTGGTAGTTTTTCAGTTCACTTCTAATGATATATTGATATCTCCATAAATCAGTGCACCCCTCATCTCTCATCAGAGAAGCTTCTTATAGCAAATGACAATCAACAGAGACCCACAACTGAACAATGTTCTGGGAGTGAAGGACTCTGAAGCATTCAGCCCTAATGGGATGTCTTCATCAATCTCATTGCCCCCTCTGTCAAGGGTTAGGGATGTATCTGAAAAGGAGGTAGAAAAGTTATAATAGCCAGAGCTGGTGCATGACTCCAAGTGTCTTCCAGATACTAAACTGCTGACACACATATAAACTCACAGAAACTGTGACAACATGCACAAGAGAAGGGGAATTGGGCCCCAAATCCTATCCCTAACCAAGAAGCTATTTACAATTGGTACCTGCTAAGAGGGAAAATAAGTTCTCTTTAATGGAATTACACTGGATATATCAACCACACTTCAAAACAGGCTTCATGCCCAGAAGTAGTTGACCAACCCAAAACAGACTCTGGGTTATTTGTTGTTGTTTTGGTTTGGTTTGGGGTTTGATGGGGTTTTTAAGACATCAAAAGAACAGTTATGTGGATAAGGAAGGGGAAGGATATGATCAAATTATATTGTATAAAAACATTTTATTATACAATTCAAATTTGAGTTGGGTATGATGGCACATGCCTTTAATCCCAATACTTGGGAGGCAGAGGCAGAGGCAGAGAGGTAGAGAGGCAGAGAGGCAGAGAGACAGAGGCAGAGAGGCAGTGGCAGAGGCAGAGGCAGAGGCAGAGGCAGAGGCAGAGGCTGATTCCTGCAAGTTAGAGGCCAGCTTGGTGTACATAGTGAGTTCCAGGACAGCCAGGGCTATGTAGAAAGACCTTGCCTCAATCCCCACCCTGCAGTTTTTTAATGCAATATTACTTTCTGAATATTGGAAAGGTTGGAGATTTTTCTATTATTGTTTTCTGTTTTCAGTCTGCTGTTCGACAGCATATTTCATATGCTTTGAATTTTTCAATATTTGTTTTTGGCTCAAATATAATCTATCAAGACAAATGTTGCATATCTACTTGAAAAGAAGTTATGTTCTTAGGCCAAAGAAGTGTCTCTGTGTGTAAAAAAATCTGATGCTCAAGCCTGAAAACCCAACTTCCCACATCTAGGACCTACATGGAAAGCTGAATACTGTAGCTTGTATCTGCAATCCCAGCACTACTATGTCAACATGGGAGGCAGAAAGGAAGACTACACCAGGAATCTGCAGATCAGCTACGGAGCTGGAGCACACAGCACAGCATTGAAAAACAGCCAGAGACTCTGCCTCAGAATGAAAATGGAAAACAAGAACCAACTCCTAAAAGTTGTTCTGTAACCATCACACACACACACACACACACACACACACACACACACACATGCACATTTGTGTTCCATGTATATTTGGCAGGTCTATTAACATCAATAAGTCAACCCATGTTGGAAAGCCTTCTTTCTACTTTTATTCAGATCTTTGTCAGTTTTCTTTTGTTATTAATTATTGTGCAATATTATATTCATATACAATTGTGGATGTCTTCTTCCTTCATTGTTATATATAATTTGAATCTCTGTTTTAAGGATACTTGACCTAATTATTGTCCTTAATTCCTGGCCATAGGTCTATTATACTGGAGACTAGTACAGCTGTGGCAGCTTTCTCCTAATTACAAATTGCTTGGTGTTTTCTATTTTTAACTTAATATATAATTATCAATGTTTTTAGTTTTCAAGCAGGTTTCCTGTCAAAGTATAGTTGAGTCTTCCTATATAGTGAATCTGTCCTCTATCTGGTATGTTTATACCACTTATTATTTAACATAATTGAAATCTATCCTGATAGAATTTTCTGTTTCCTGTGTTCTTTTCATTTACTTCTGCCTACTTTAAAAAACTGAGTACAATTTATCCCAGTTAATCTGCAGTATTCATTGTTTGTGCTGTTGATGAATGATCTTTGGTAGGTGCCTCCTGTTTTATAGAATTTCATCAGTAAAGAATATATTCCACTTTTAAACAAATTCTAAGCTTGGATGTCTTAACAGCCTGAAATTCTACTGAACATCTCAGGCAGGATCATTTCAAACCTTCTTTTCTGTGGTTGCTATAAAGACTCCTATCTTTACCTCTCAGCAACTTGATTACAATGTATTTCTTTGAGTTGATTTTGTTGGATTCTGTTGAGCATCTTATGACTTGATGTCTGTTGTCATATTGTGGGACTTTTAGGTTAGCTACCATCCTCCAGATATGTTTTGTGCAGCACACTTACTCTCCTCGTCTTCTGGGTTACATTGACACCATGTCGATGCTTTCAATTTTGCTCCCCAGCCCATCCTGCTACCCAGATGCTTGAAGCTCTATATGTACTTTTTGTTTATGTGTCTGTTTTAATTTTTGTTATTTGGTTTTCCAATCATTTTGTCTGTGACTATGACTAGAGACTTCTTTAGAATGTATTTCTATTGATGTATGCAGATGAGAGTCAGATCCATTGACTCTTTTCTTGGTTGTTTCAATCTGCTATCAGACATACTCAGTAACTTGGAGGTTTTATCATTATGTTTCATCTTTTTTCAAATAACTATTATACTATTCAATTGTCATTCTCAGACATACTCAGTAACTTGGAGGTTTTATCATTATGTTTCATCTTTTTCAAATAACTATTATACTATTCAATTGTCATTCTTATAAAACTCATGGAACTGTATACTTGCAAGGGTAGGTTCTGCTATGCTAAATCATCCCTCAATAAATTTTATACTTTTAAAGCCATGGCTATGCTATCTCTATGGGAAAAGATACTATTCCTTCCCCAGGACACTGATAATTTGAGTAAAATGAAAATGATTGAGTTTCATAATTTAGATGTATTTTTCAGTATTAAAATTTTTATAGACAAAGTTTTCTTTTGTTTGATTTTAAACCAGTCAAAAGGCTTAATTTTTGAATACTACTGACTAATCCTTGGTCATATTAGGATCTAGAATAATTCAACAAAGAATTTGACTGTGACCTCTCAAGTGCAGTCAAGTGATTTTTTAGATGATCATAGACAATACAGAAATGTGAGAGGTTTGTTTCTCTCTTATGGCATTAAAACCACAGGGCTCATTCCTGGATTTGTAGAAAAACTTATTGTAATTTAGATGACTTATAAAAGTGGGATCTCATACATCTTTGAACTTTTTGTAGTTAAATGAATTCAGGTGAATTGGATTTTATGACCTCCTCATTAAAACAAAGGGTTTGAAATAAGAACCCTAAGGTATGTTATTGTTTTAAACCATTTTTCTTCCAGATTTCCTTCTTGTTGCTTTACTTTATTTTCTCCACCCCATGTAACAGTTTGACTGAGATGTATGGCTAAAACTTATTGAACTGAAAAGTATGAAAGCACTGAGCACTCTTTAAAGTACTTAGAACAACAATCAAAAATGTAATAGCTTTGACGAAAATTAAGACTATTAGAAGACAGCTGTTGATCGCACTCTGAAAAACTATAGTGTATGATGGTTATAAGCATGAACTCCATCGCACACAGCTCTTCCTCGTAATAGTTTAGGAACATCACATTGAAGACCCACCTTCCTGTCACTGACCCTTTTCAGCTGTTAGGAAATGAGGAGTCTCAGAAGATTTATAATAAAGACAAAATTGGTTGGATTCTTCTGATATTGCCTTTTTTGAGGGAAGGATCTAACAACACAATTAATTCTTATTTTTCTTATCTACAGACTTCGTATATCATTTAAATGGATGGTTCGAGCTTTTTCTGGATACTTAGCTACAGATCAACTCTTGCTTTTGTGGGATAGAATCCTAGGCTACAACTCTCTGGAAATTCTTGCTGGTAAGAATAAGTGCATGTTTGTGAAATCCATGCCGTTTCTACATGAAGTGCCTTTCCTGTCTAGCACTCACTACCATCATTAGAGAAGGGACTTCATTCATCATTAAACATTTCATAGATTGAGCAGGGCTAGAAGACAGGTTCTGAAGCTCTGCATTTTAGATTCATCCATCTAGCTGCTCTACACCAGTCTATTCCTAGTCTCTGTGAGGTGTGTGCAGCAGATATACTTCTGCTCTAACTCATGAGTTTCATAACATTCTGTCCTGTGCCACTTCTCAGAGACTGAGCCTCCCTCCCCCAGCATATCTCAAAGCTCTTCTCTTCTGGACTGCAGCTTATCTTGGATTCCAAGCCTTTTCATTTTTGCTAGTAGTCTCTGGCTTCTACCCTCGTGCCCAAATTTCTTCTTTTAGGTATTCTCTCATAAAAAAAGAGCATTTCCTCCTTTACTAATGGAAGCCACAGATCCAGCCATTGTTAATGATTAAGCAGTTTATACAGCAGAAGTATACCAGTCACACCGTAACATACCAGGTACATATTTCTTATGTGCTTGGCACCCCTGGTGCACAGTTGACTCAGTTACTTAATCACCAGGATAATTAGACAATTCAAGTAACAACTAGGATATTTCTGCAACAACATATGGGGTACAGAAAAGTTGGTGATGTTTTGTTTGCTTCCTTCCTTTGCCGTTAAAATAACCTCTCTGGGATATTATGGAAATAAGGCTTAGAAAAATAATGTGTCAAGAGTATTCTCTGGGCACCATATTAACATTTTCTTGAATGCCAGAGGCCCATAGTATTTGGGTGACATTTGGAAAGGTGAAAGAACAATAACTATAAAGTACATAAAGATAAATGTCACCTTAGGTGCAGCCAGACTGTCATTGATTGATGTTTTAACAACTCGAAGTGTCCTTTTGTCATTTTTCTTAAAGCTCATATAAACGTGTTAGGGAAGAGCAGTCTGCCCTCCTCATCTTAGATAAAGGGCAATGGCAGATCATCTAGGAATGCAGGAATGCCCAAGAGTGACCTCTAGCTTTTCAGACATTTCTGACCAACTGCTTGGAGCCTCTATTCTGTACTTAAGTGCTAGGTAATCCTGCCCTTTTCAGAGGACCTATTTCTTTATGGATATGGCTAACATGTGCACCTTCTAGGGCCTTTGAGATGGCTCAGTGGGTAAAAATGCCTACTGCCAAGTCTGACAACCTGAGTTAAATCTCCAAGACCCACATGGTGGAAGGAGAGAACCACTAGTAGTCTACTGACTTTGACACACATACCATGGCTTCCACATGCGCACTGTGGTACTCACACTCACATATGTGACACATACAAAATAAATAATATAACTGTTAAAAGCATCCCCTTTTTCTTTTTAAAGACTTATTGTGTGTGTGTGTGTGTGTGTGTGTGTGTGTGTGTGTGTGTTTGCCATGTTTGTGTAGTTACCCACAGACACCAGAAGAGGGCATCTGATCTCATGGAGGCTAGAATTGCAGGAATTTATGAGCAACCCTGCCTGGGTCATATGAAAGAGCAGCAAGTGCTCCTAACCACGGAGTCATCTCTACTGCTCCAAATATGCTCCTTTTAAACCAAAATGTTTTCATGTTTTTTCTACTTTCTTCCCCCCATCTTTCCCTGGAGTCTCCTATTTTCCAGACTAAGCAGTCTGGTTTTCTGCTACCAATTTCACCAATGTCTGGATTTTAGACTTCACCAAGTTACTCTCTTTTGGGTATTGTGGAAACTCTGAAGAGTGTATTCCTTAGCATTTTCGGTCATTTCAGAGAGAATAGTACATGAGCTTAGGAGGAAGCTCAGTGCAAGAAAGTGCTTTCCAGGAGAGGTATTGGGCAGAGTGAGCTTTGTTATCTGGAAAGTGGAAAAGTTTTCATGGGAAAGAAGCTTTGACTTAGAGAACTTTCCAGGACTCTTCAGATTTAAGTTCTATGATTTTGTTCCTCATCATTGCCTTAGCTGAACAGAAAGAGAGAGAGAAGTGTGGAATACTGGATATGCTCTGTACCACGTACTTTGTTAGCTCAGTGCTAACATCATTTAAAAATGCCTGGCACAAAGGCAGAAACTGATTCATATATTGTATCCATTCACTTGCCTGGATGCCCTCAAAATTCACAGGAAGAATTTTTAAATATCGACAAATGAAACTGGAGTGTTGGGAGCTCTCAACCCTGGAATTCAGATAAAAGTCCATAATAATAGATCATAGGTCATTTCAATCAATTATGTTATAGAGTTTTGATGCAGATACTTAAGAGCCACCTTTTGATACAAATTTGTTATTATAGAGTCTTAAGAAATCTTTTCATAAATATGTCTGTCCTTAACAATGGCTTACAGACCACTAAAGAGTTTCAGAGGTGTCTTCATGCCATGATAGAGTTTATTAAGATAAAAGTAGTGAGAATAGTTGTAAAAATCCCAAAGTGAACATAGCAATTTCCACATTACTATGCAGCATGTTTCAGTTAAGATTACTCCAAAGTATATAGTTCCTCCCTCCATGGCAAACAACCCTGTTCTGTGCAGAAGGTCTGGACAAACTCAACATGAAGCAAACGGAAAGGCACTTGTGTGATGTGACACCAAGATAAATAAAGGCTATGAGCACACGTTTGGATGCTGAGTTCAATCAGTGGAGTTCTCTGCCTTAGACCAGCAGCTGACCACCGTCTCTGTCCAGCTACAGCACAATATTTGGACATCCTGTCAAGCTTTCAGCCAACTGCTCAACTATATACAGGAATGAAAGTGGGAATCATATCTCTTAGCTTCTAAAGTGTTTCCACTGTCCAAAATAGGATTCCAAATAGTGGGAAGCAGTAAACATTGTTGGCCTACAGAGATGGATTTAATACTCTTGTAAGCATAATGTTGCATGGCTTTACATTCCTTTTTCATTCTTTTCAGTTAAAGAAAAACTCCTTTGATGCAGATCTCTCATATCCTTTCTTTCATGGTGAATAGTTCCAGTGGATTTATTTTAATTTGTTTTCTTATTATCCCATATTTTTCCAGGATCCTCTTCTTTTGTTTTTTTTTTTTTATTTTTCTGCGTTATTATCCCATATTTTTCCAGGATCCTCTTCTTTTGTTTTTTTTTTTTTTTTATTTTTCTGGGGTTTTTTTTTTTTGTTTTTCTAGACAGGGTTTCTCTGTGTAGCTTTGGAGCCTCTCCTGGCACTCGCTCTAGAGACCAGGCTGGCCTCGAACTCACAGAGATCTGCCTGCCTCTGCCTCCCGAGTGCTGGGATTAAAGGCATGTGCCACCACACCCAGCTCAGGATCCTCTTTTCTATCTAATGGTAATGCTCTTGCCCAGACTTCCTGAGGGAAATTCCCAAGCTTTCCTGGTTGTACTGCTCCCTACCTGGAGTGATTTAGAGGCCTGGACAGCAAGAGCTTGCTACCCACTCCTCAGGCACAGCCTTCCTGTCAGGGTCCAGGCCCAACACTGCAGGCCACATCTGGAAAGTTCTCTGAGACGCAACAGAGCTGACCCTTTCTAGGAGAGCCAGTCTCCTTGTCTTTGGTCTCATTAGGGAAATAATTCAAGGGCCACATGCACAGGCATTAGTGTCAGCTCTACTATTTCTCCCTGTATGACCAAAAACATGCCTGCCAACTCACCATGCCTTGGTTCCTACACTATTAAATGTACTTGATCATAATACTTAATGCTTTTTCTCATAGTAAAGTCGTTTACAACGGTTTGTGCTGGCTCTGCAGTTCACCCAGTAAGCAGTCTTCCAAATCATGTTTAATGTTCATTACCATGTATCCCCCAACTTGCAATGCATTGCCACGTCAGACCATGGGGAAAACTGTAGAGGGAGGCGTTCTCTCCAAGCAATTCCATTTTCTCACCAGGGTTGCCTGTCTAGTACATGGGTCCTCTGCTCCTCACAGCTCATCACTTGCATGGAGTTTCATGGTCATTCCTATATTGCTAACCAGTGTGTGCTTGCCTGGCCCTTCTTGTGTGTGTTTAACAGAAACAAGGAGTGCCAATGTTTTCTACTTAATGTCTGTTACTAAATTGTCTATATGTTTTCAAATTTTCAATTTACTTTTCTTCTAGCTAACATTGTAAATATCAAGATTAGCCTCACAACAGCCTTCCGCATAGAACTATCCATTTGTGATACTAAGAAAGTCAATAATGAGTACATAAAGATATAAATATAACAAAATACTTACAAAATCATTTTTGAATGGTCTTATGTCCATGTTTTTATCAGGAAACCTCCCTCAACCATGTGAGTTTTTAAAATGTAACTTCACGTAACTTTCCAAGGCTTCTCAATTTCATATATTAGAAATATCTGTGTCAAAATGAACTGTGACTTCCAAGACCACCATCAGAGGGCATGCATTTCAGCAGTTACAATGCTACTTGCAGGTGTGAGAGAAATCACTTTTAAATGACTTTTGAAGATCACCCAGTTTTCCTGTCCCCAAACTAAGGGACTCACTCCGTGACGTGGCCAGGCAGTGTTCTCTAGAATAGATGTCCCCTCTTATGACTCCTTAGAGCAGAGGGCAGAGGAACAGCTGCCTTGCTCCCTCTGCATTCTGTGATGGCTGTGGGCAGAGCATGCGTGTCTGGGCTGTTGCAGAGGCCAGCAGTTGAAATAGTGCGCATTCTTTTCCAGTGCTGGCAGCTGCCGTGTTTGCTTTCCGAGCAGTGAACCTGATGGAGGTGACATCACTGGCTGCAGCTGAAGTAAGGATAAGTTTCACTGTGTGGGCTGGAAATAGTTGCTGAGAGGCCGACAGGCCATCACTCTAGTGTCTGGTGCATAGGATATGCACTTCTTGTAGCTGAATTCTGTAACTCGGGTAAAACCTATAAATTCTGAGTTAAGTATTATTAAGTGCTCAAATTTCCCTAATCACTTGAAAACAACCTTCTTATGGAGGGTCATAAACAAGGTTAATACAGAAAACCATTATAACCATTATAGGAAACCAAATACCTAGTGATTTTAATGGGAACCTATGGTACACTTTCTATGCCAATGTGTTACAAACAGGAACACTAATTGAAAGAGTTAAATAGTATGTGTTTGAATGACACAAGCTTTGAATTCTATTCAGTGGTGGATTATCGATTTAAAGCCGGTTTTCTTCTTTCCTTCCTTCCTTTCTTTTTTTATGTCATCTCTGTTTATTTCTGTACATTTCAAAAGCCAGTCATGATTCTTGCTGGTGCACCACCTTTATTTTTTCTTGTTTGTGCCTTTTGTACCCTTTACAATTAATTTCTTATACGCATACAGTGAATTTTGGTCAATTTCATTCACTCTCATTGCCCTCTCTCATCCCTCTCTCTCACTTGATGAAATCCTTTTTCCCATTAAGCAATAACCGTGCTTCTTACTCGCCCACCCCCCACTGTGCATGTGTGTGATGCTTGGGATTTAATTAGGTTTGCTTTCATGAGTTCCAGTCTAGGTTTATTTACTGAAGTATGGTCAACTTACCAGGTGCTACACCACTGGCGAAAATGACCCCTTCCTCCATCAGCCACTAACTGTCAAGAACTCCTCTGGGACAGTGAGGACCTTATGAACCTCTTCCCCATGAGAGTGGAATTTTGACAGGCTTAAACTTGTGTAGGCCTCGTGAAGATAACCACAACTGTGTGAGTTCATGGGTGCAGTGATCATGTCTTGTCCATATGACACAGGCTCATAGCCTCCAACCCCATCCTCTGCCTCTTACATTTTCTTCCCCTCTTCCACAATGTTTCTGAGCTTTAGTGGAGGACTGAGCACTTGACAATTCCCTATTCTCAGCACTGTGACCAGTTATGAGTCTCTGCATTAATTGCTGTCCACTGCAAAAAGAAGCTGCTCTGATAGGAGGCTCCACATAGCACTAATGTGTGGGGCAGGAGCCCATGGGAGGGACTACTTGCTTAATTCTAGTTTGAGGTGGGGCCATTCTTCTCAGTGGTGTAACCACCAATAAACTTTAAAGCTGATTTCTTTCGATGATAGAGTTTATGCCTGAGGTATGGTTCCCTTAAATAGTGCCCACCATGGTACTATATGTGTTAGCTCTCAGAGAGATGTGAGTCCTGTCCTTCAAATAGCCATGTTGTGTTTACAGGGAAGAGGATGTTTATTAGTCTTGCAACTAAATAAATATTAACTCAACAGGATTCCCTGCAGTCAGTTACCCTCTACACTAGAGTAATAGGCCTAGGATTCATAATGGAGGTTTATTTATAGAAGCAAGCTGAAATGCTAGACCTCCTATAAACTCCCGTTGCCTTGTGTATGTGAAGAAAGTACAAGGCTGAGGTCAGCTAATTTTCTTATGTGCATTTTAGAATTTTTTGCACAGGTTCAGAGATTCCAAGAAGGAAGTTGTAGCCCTGGGAGAGACTAAAGCCAGCTGAAGAACTTAGAGGGGATCATTACCAAGATCACACTGAACAGGTGTTTGTGTTGTGCCTTTGACAGACTTTGGTGTTAATAACTCTTTTTTTGATTTTTTGTTCCAGGCAGTTCTGGCTGACCTTTCTACTTTAAAAGTTATGCCTCTTCTTCAAATTTTTCTGTTTGCTACTGTCACCTGATCTTCGAGGTCACTGACAACACATCTAGTTTTTCATTAGCAACTAATCATGAACTATGCAAACTCTGCATACAACCAAAATTAAACTTTGCATATAAGCCAATAAAGATCATGTTCCATCCTCAGTTAAAGCTAAGAAGTTTTTCACTTTTGAAACAATAACCCTGCACACCAAATACTGCGCTTGCATGCTGATTGATGATTGTCAAGAGAGAAGCAATAGACATCTCTTCTGCTGAGCCAAGCATCCTACAGGCACAGATTCCTAACTTGTAACAGGCACGTACCATATATGCAATAAGAACTAAAGGCACTATAATAAACTTCAAGAGGTAACACAACTTCTTGTCGGTTTGTAAACTTCTCCTAGATAATAGTTCTCTTTTATAAATTGCCCCTCACTAAAGCCAATGATGGGATAGGACATGAAAATACTTGGAAATAATAATGTGTTTGAGTGGGAATTCAAATGTGCTTTGGTATTTTTTTATTAATTTTTAATTTATGATGGATTTTCAGATCCCTTCCATCTTCTTTCTCCATTAAACATCTGTATTTGAAAAGTTATACAGATATCTCCATCCCCTATTTTTTGTGTTTGTTTGAGACAGTTTTATATAACCCAGGCTCTCCTCAAACTCACTGTGTAGCAGAGGATGACTGAATTCCAGATCCTCCTGCCTCCATCTGCCAAGAGCTGGGATTACATGTGTGTTCCATCCCACCTGCCTCCATCTTATAATATTTGTTTCTTCACTCTGGAAGTCAGAAGTGTATAGAGGGAACCCTTTGCACGCTACCCTTCCATCTTTTACATAGAAGCCTCGACAGTGCTGAGGCCTGGTGCCAGACCTTATTTCCTTGGAAGAATCCAAGGAGGAACTAACTATCAAAACCACATTGGCTTTGCTGAAGCTCGGTCCTTCCACATTGACTTCTGGAGCAGAACAGCTCAGAGACAGCACAAGTGTTCATCCATTCTAGAACTGAAGCCATTGTTCAAGGCATCAGGTATTGATTAGTGTTTATTATGAGCAAAAGGTTTGGTTTTATAGTACTTTAATGCTATATCAGTATACGAAATAATAGGATGTGAAAAAACATTGTCTTCTGATTTTAGATGAAAATTGAAGATGCTGATCACTCTAATAAAACTCAAATAAATCAATAGATTGATACTCTCCTTATCTGAAATTTTATTAAGACTTATCGAAATGTATCTTGCAAATGTGTTATATTCACAGCATATATTAGGAAAAGTATGAAATTCAACATAATAAAGTGTGGAGAAATTAGATATGAAGAATTTACTGAAAAATCTAAATTTTCTTATGCATCAGGTACTTGCTGACTTACTGAAGACTAAACAATTTATTCTGTGATTGGTTCTTTGTTGGGGGGCGTGGTTAAGATAGGGTTTCTCTGTGAAACAGTTCTGGCTTTCCTGGAACTCACTCTGTAGACCAGGTTGACCTCAGACTCAGAGATCCACCTCCCGAGTGCTGGGATTGATTAAAGGCATGTACCACCGACAACTGGTGATTGGTTCTTAATAAACCCCCACATTATTGTTTTTGAAAGTGACACATTCATGTCATATGCTTTGCCATTGTGCATGTCCAGATGCACCTCCATTGAGGAGACAAGCAAGATTCCAGGACAACTGTCCCCTCTCTTTACTTCAGTGACAAAAATATTAGGAAGCAGTTGTGTTTTAGATGACTAGTAGATGTATACAGACGTGCCCATCTTTTTAAAGAAAACTATATACTTACTAGAGACATTGTAGTTGTCTGATACATTCAATTATAGACTTCTGATCTTACTGCAAGTTCCTGAATTATTAGATCTCCGTTATTGGCAATGATAAGGAGACTGGACAGATGGTAACAAATTATTGTTTCTGCTGTTTTTGCCTTCAAGATGGTAAAGGACCACATGAGAAAATATATTTGAAAGTGATTTTTAATGTAAAACATCAATTAAATATGGTGTTATTAATTTTTATGTGACCATCTAAGGTCAACTGCTAGAAGGTAACATGAAGAATGTCCAACTTCACTGGCATATGTGTTGTATTTCATGACAGCTTGAGGCTATGTCTATTGAGAAATGAATCATTACATGATGGATGCTGTCATTCAGTGCAGTTAGCTCTAGCCAGTAGCTCTCTGAATCTTAATCCCAGACCAAAGCTGGTGGGCAACTTCCCACTTAGCCACTATGGTAAACTCCTGTCAAGCTCCTCTTAGCTTCTGTAAGCACTACAAAGAGAGCAAATCAGGCCGTCCTCCCACTCAACCCCTGACTGTTCCTCTTCCTACTGCCTCACTTGGCTTCCTTCCATGGGCATTCTCCTGTGCCATCTTCCATTAACCATCAACACCCCCTTCCCTTTTGTTTGGCTGGTGACCACAGGGGTCTGGTAGACTAGTGGTGCAGTGCTAATGGTCATGGACACATAGTTAAGCAGCTTCACAGGCAAGTTGTGTTTGGTTCTTGTGAACTCAGTCCACTAAGATGCACCATGGCTTTGTGTCTGGAAGAGCCTGTTTGACCATCTTTGGATCAGGATGCTTTGATGCTGCAGTTTCCTGGCTAACTGCAATGCACAACTTAACTGCGTAGTGCTTCTTGCTCAGCCTAGACTCCTCTCCCACTCCACAGGGGACAGAGACACCAATAAGCTTGTACCTCCTCTCCCCTCTACTCCAAAGGTTAGCTTGATCCCCATACTTAATTTCTTCCTTCTTGTCTCAAGAGTTCTCTAATCTATTTCTGTAGTTCTCTAAATGTTGATCAGTTTGGGTTATTTCTGTGCTTACAAAGTTTGATTCCTTGTTGTTTAAAAGATCAAGTCCCCACTCATTAGCAAATCAGGAATAATTGCTCATAGCCTGGCCTTTCCATTTGTTTGTTCCATGATGATCCATTCCCATCAGCAGAGGCATGATGATCTTCAGCCAGTTCTGGCTGTTCTGTTCATTTTTTCTCCGTAAAAGGAACCCACATAGTCAAGGTCCCACTCAGAAAAGGCTCTTCTGTTGCCAAGATATGCTGGATCCTACACATTAGAATTATTTCTGTGTCTTTTTCATCCACTCGTGCGGTGCTTGTGACAATGGGTATTTTTTTTATCATTTTTTATTTGAATTAGAAACAAGATTGTTTTACATGACAATCCCAGTTCCCTTCTCCCTCTCTTCCTCCCCTACCACCTCCTAACTAAAACCTTACCTATCACATACCCTTTCTTCTATTCTTCACCTGACTCAACCTTTCTGCTCCCTCATGACCTCTGCATCCTGCCTCTACCCTTCTCATTCTCGTAGCTCCCTCCCCCCTCTTCCCATGCTCTCAAGTTGCTCAGGGGATCTTGACCATTTCCCCTTCTCCAGGGACTATGTATGTCTCTCTTAGGGTCCTCCTTGTTTACTAGCATCTATGGCAGTGTGGATTGTAGGCTGGTAATCCTTTCCTCTATGTCTAAAATCCACATATGAATGAATACTTATCATGTTTGTCTTTTTGTGATTGGATTACCTCGCTCAGAATGGTTTCTTCTAGTTCCATCCATTTTCCTGCAAATTTCAAGATTCCATTGTTTTTGTCCACTGAGTACTCCAAACAATAGGTATTCTTAAGGAAACTGTCGTTAACTTCCTAGCTCTTCCTAGTCACAAGAAGAGACTGTCCACATGTTTTTGCATTTCCTCAGTTGCTCAAAAATTGTTGGGATACATTTTTCTTAAACACAAGTATCTAGTCTGTCTTCTTCCACGAAGGCTCTGAGTTCTACTTGAAGTTTGCCTCTTCCCTACATGCTTCAGGTGACACTGCATCCTACCCCCAAGTTCTCTGGTTTGGCCAAGCTGTTGCATGTGCCATCCCACTGGCCATGGAATGGCTTTGGGATCAACTCAAAGTCTATGACCACTGAAAGCCAGTGACACTTGGTTAGAAGACTCTGACTTAGCCTTTCAGGGAAACTGAATGTGACAAAGAAAGACTATGATCCAGACTTGGTGTCCTAGTGTCCCATAAAGAGAGGGAAAAGCTGCTCGTGGTCCTTGTGGGTCCTCAAAACACACCCCAGTAGGCTTCTGCTCAATCTTTTGTACATAAGCCCAAGGATTTTCTTTGCAACAGAAAGGGTCCTAACTTCTAAGGTTATTTTCCTTTGAGGTTTGAGATCCAGCAGGTGTAGAAGCTCCATGCACACACTAACTGTATTTCCTTCAGTCAAGGCAACACTGTGGCCTTACAAGGCTGAAGCCTATGTTCCGTGCCTACCTGATATACCTAACCAGGGTCTTTGACCTTTGGCCTTTTGTCATATAGCTCCCTAGCTTTGAACGCTTTCTCTTCTCTTCTTACTAACTATAGCTTGTACCTCAGAACCTAACTCAGGTGCTGCTTCATCAGGAAGACTGCTCCTCATACCCTACAGTAGCCCAAGTCATGCCAGTCTTAGCTTGTCTTTCTTTTCTGCTTCATGGTAACTCCCTGAGGGCAGAAATTGTCTCATTTCAGCTTTACATCTCTTGTCTCATTTCAGCTTTACATCTCTAGAGCCGAGCATCATCCTTACCCCATTTAAGGCTTAACAAGTGTTCACAAGTGAGTAAGTGAGGCTATACAATTCAGTACTCATTTTACTTGTGATGGGAAAAGTTTGTTCAGAGTGATGACTTGCCCAGCATCATGTAGCCATTTTACTTTTTGTTTCCTACAGAGGAGGTTTCAAGGGGAATAATATCTTTAGAGGAGAAAAATTACTGCCTCATTTTTCATTTAACTGACTATGTATACAATGAAGCTGTACATATGTAAAGTAGAATTCACTTTAAATGTACAGTTCTGTACAAATGTATGTACCTATGTCACCACGTTTGACAATTGTGGTAGCAGAATGTTTACATCACCCTAAACAGTTCCCTTTGTGCCCTTCCTGTTTGGTCCCCTGCACTCACTTCTAACAGCCATACAACTAGCCCTAAAGATTAGGGTTTCTTCTCTAGAGGTTCCACATCTGTTCTCTTGTGTGGGCTTGCTTTAGTTGGCATACTGTGCTGAGAGCCATACTGTGGGATTGGTAGTTCACTGTCAGGTACTGCCAAATACACATTTTCACATGGACTTGCATCTTCTCTTCCCTGAGGCAATTGCAATTTCTAGGTCACATGTAAGCACTTGTTTATTTTTCTAAGAAGTCTCCAAGTTCTTTTGTGAAGTGATTTCACCATTTACATTTCCACCAACACATGAAGTCCTGGTTGTCATTGTGTTAGTTAAGCATTAATAGGTGACCATGCTGTTCTCGTTATTTCCTCAGTTAGATATAACAGCATCTTACTATGCTTAGCAGCTGTTTATAAAGTATTATTTTTAGTCAACTATTTTGTCCATTTAAAATCAATTACTTTCTTATTTCATTGTAAGACTTTATTGTGGATATGGCCTAGAAATCCCGCTAATTTTTCGAACTATTTTTTCTTTTTAAAAATTTGCTCTCATCCATATTTACATACAACTCATTATTTCCCCATACAGAGCACTGATTAAGCTATCTTTTTCAAGATCAAAAGCTTTAATTTTATTGAAATCAAATTTAACTATTTTTTTCCTTTTTCATTTTTTGTGTACTATCTATTAAATCTTTGTGTAACTCAGAGTTACGCATACTTTCTCCATGTTTTCTTCTATAAACTTTATAGATTAAGCTCACTCATTTAGGTCTACGATTTTTTTAAGTTCTTTTAGTGGCAAATTTGGGTTGAAGTCCATGTTTTCACTATGGATAACCCACCATTTGCTTAGTAGCCCCGCCCCTTTCCCTTCAGCGTTAGTATCTCCATAAAGTCAGGAGGAGCTAGCTGGTGTGCAGACTTGATTTTATTTCCTGTGGATTTGTGTCTGTCCTTACTGCAACAGCATAGCATCTTGATTTTTGTGTACCTAGAGAAATCTTGAGATTGACAGTGTTAAGTGTTCACTTATGTCAAAATTATTTAAGCTATTTCAGTATTATTGCTTTCTAAATAACTTTTAGAACCAGCATTTCAAAGAGTTTGTTAGGATTTTTTTAATAGACAGCATTAGCTCTACAAATAGGTTTGGGGACAATTGATATCACAAATACTGAGTTGTCCAATCCATGAGCACAGTATATCTCTCATTTCC